TTTTTAATATTTTTTTTCTTTATTTATTTATGATAGAGAGAGAGAGAGACAGAGACACAGGCAGAGGGAGAAGCAGGCTCCATGCACCGGGAGCCCGACGTGGGACTCGATCCCGGGTCTCCAGGATCGGCCCTGGGCCAAAGGCAGGCACCAAACCACTGTGCCACCCAGGGATCACCCTCCCCCCCCCCCGACACATGTTTTCTTAAAGCCAATTTACTCCAGCTTAGCAAGAATGCAGGATTCCTACCACAGGGGTTACGCCCTCCCTACCCATACAGCAGTGGCTCCTCAACTAGTGACCCCTGTACATGTCTTAGGCTCCCTGCTCCCCGCCCCATTGTCATCCACCTTTCTGTGGACTCTACTTGAATCACATGTGCTCTAAAAGCACTGGTTCCTGATGGGACACTGAATCCATCCAGTCTCCTTGGCCTTAGGGCCCAGCTGTTTCCTGGGCCCAGCCTGCCTTTGCAACATATTACTTCCCACCATACTCTTGCATGCACAGTGAACCCAGCCCCTCCCTGGGGCACTCTGCCTTTTGATCAAGAGCATAGCTCAGTGTCTTAGAGCTTATAAGGGGCTGCTTCATAGGCCCTTCCTCATTTACCTTCCTCTAGATATGTTTCAGTTTGCTATGTCCGCTAGACCTCTGTTACCACAGCCAAGTTCAAACATCACACCACAAAGGCCACAATCCCATTTTTGGTCCTAACTGACCACCATCTGTTAACTCTAAGCCTGTTACTGGATCATTAACCTGCCAGTAAATATAATCTGTGCTTCCTCTCACTCATCCACACACACCCTGGTTGTTGAATTCAAGAAGAGAGTCTTAAAATGGAAGGAACCTTCTTGTATCAAAAATCAGGAGACGGGCAGCCCCGGTGGCTCAGTGGTTTAGCACCACCTTCAGCCCAGGGCCTGATCCTGGAGACCCGGGATCGAGTCCCACGTCTGGCTCCCTTCTTCTCCCTCTGCCTGTGTCTCTGCCTCTCTTTCTCTCTGTGTGTGTCTCTCATGAACAAATAAAGAAAATCTTAAAAAAAAAAAAATTAGGAGACCTTGGAAGACAGTTTGTTAAATGAAGGGCCCACAAGAGTAAAACTGGAATAATTACGTGATTGGTGGATACTTTGGGATAGAGGAGCCTGAGGCCCCGTCATAACTTATATAATGACAACTTCTTCCTGGCTTAGAGGGAAGGGCCAATGAAGCATGGAGCCCAAAGTAGGATTTTCATGTTCTGGAAATGCTGGTGTGTATGTATGTGTGTGGACAGTATGGCGCATGGCTGTATGCATCACATCCCAGGGTTCTTCCAACCTGAGAGATAGAAAAAAACTCTGCTCTTCTTTCCTGGCTTGCCCTCCCCACCACACCCAACAGACCACACTTCAGAGGAGAGGTGTGGGCAGGGCCCTTGCAAGCTGGATTTAAATAACCGAAAGGCTCCTGTACAAACCAAGAAGGAAGGGTCTGCTCTGAAGAGGTATTACAGACCTGCCCATGCTTCCAACTTGTGTCATCTCACTTTGCAGAAGTGACCCACAGTGGGTTTGTGCCTGGCACTTTACATCTTCTCCTGTCACTCTGATCAATTTCCAAATTCATAGTCTCCCTTCTATGACCTCGTTCTTCATTTCTAAAGGAGCCACAAATATTGCACTCCGATTTTGGTGGTGGTGGCGATGCTTCCTCAGAAGATAGGCCTATTTATCTTTATATAAGCCTGAGAAAATAATCCAAATAGATGATTACTGATTCTTTTATCTCTTTCTGGGCTTCCAATGAGTGGCTTTCTTGCCTGGGATCCTCTGTACAGCTGGGAGAGGCACGGAGCTGAGGTGCTGACAGCTTGTGTTGGAATCACATGGTGTTTACTGTGCTGTGAGTTTATAACAGCCTTGTTTCCATACTGACAGCAAATGCCATATGGAGAGAAAAAATCCTGTCAGATGAACCCTTAAGGAATCACAATATGGCACATGAAATCTCTTAATTGCTTTTGGAAATGGGGAGGGGCACATTGCTCAAATCACATAAGCCGTGTGGTTCTCTCTGCCATAATTGAATAAAATTGGAGTTTGACACAAGGTAATTTACTTTCATTCTGTGTTTGTGCTGGGGAGGTTCAGCTGATTGGGGAAGGGTGAGGAAGTTTGTTTTCCTCACCTTTGGTGGGGGTGATCAGTCTGAGTGGGAGGCAGCGAGAATGCAGCCTGTATCTACAGGGCATCGTGCTAACAGGTGCAGGCTACAGACCTGTCACCCTCTCAGCTCCCTCCTTCCCAGATTCCCTACTGTGGCTGACGATAACACTCATCTAACTTGACATTTTATTACTGTCACTTGGGATCTTGTCTACTTACCCACATGCTGTACCCTTTCCAACAGAATCCAAACTTCCTGAGGGCTGGGACTGCATCCCACCCCACCCCCCCAAACCGCTACCCCATCCCACTGGTTCTGGCACACACTGAGGTGGGTTAAATGTTCGTTGGAATGGCTATTTGTGAGCCATCTGTGCATGGAAAGGTAACCGAGTTAAGGCAACAGTCCAAGGCTAGTGTCAGCCCCTAGACCACTTGAGGAGGGGATCAAGAGGGGAACCTGAAGGTGGCCATCCGTGTTGATCAAAGTATCTATTCAGGAGAGAATGAGAAAATTTTGAGTGACTTATACACACTGTACTTAGAACTGGTGAATCCCCACAGCAACAGTTGCTGCCCTCCAGCAGTTTACCCATGAGAGAAGTGGGCTGCAAAACTCTCCAGCCTGTACACCTGGTCACTCGCTCTTTCAGTTGCAACAGACAACAACCCAACACCAACTGAATTAAGCACTCTGTCAGGTAAATAAAAGTGCAGGCACTGGGCTGGCCTTGGCGAGGCTTGCTTGAGGGGCTCCTGGGATGTTCAGAGTGGGGTTTCTTTCTTCTGCACTCAGCCCCGCCTTCCCCTGCTTCCTTTTCTGTGGCTTCTCACTGCCTAGTGGAAAAGACAACTGTGGCAGCTCTTACTTGACTGATCCTAAGACCTCAGCATCCCAGGGAGAAGCAAGCGCCTCTTCTGTACCTTCTAGGGGACTCCTACCCACTCGGGTCAGGTGCCTTGAACCTGTCCTTGTGGCCCAGAAACAGAGGGGGTGCTCTGATTGGCTGGGACGAAGTCACAAGTCTGTTTTTGAACCTAACACTATGACAGAAACCGGGGCCTCTGATTGGCGAGGCCTGAATCATGTGCCCATCCTTTACCTTATGTGGCTGGGAGATGAGAGCTCTGGCTAGGACTGGGTCACGTGCCCATTGCCAGGCTCCCTTAAAACGTAGTGCTGGATTTTTACAAACTCAGAGAGCAGAGGCTCCTTGAAGAAATGGATGGAACAGATGAAGAGACCCCCAAACTCGGTGATAGCAGATGGGGTTTAGTAAGCATTTTCTATGTCTTAGGCCCTGTTCTGAGTCTCTTCTATGTGTTGTCTTATTTATTCCTCATGACAGTCCTAGAAGTTAGGGATGATTCCCATCCCCAGTTTACAGATGAGGAGACTGAGGGATGAAAGTGTTAAGTCAGATGCCTCAGGGCACATGGGCAGTGCCTGCTGAGGCTGGGGTTTGACCCCATGCAGTTCAGCGCCAGAGCCCATGCTCCCAGCCACCACCCTCTCTACAAGTCACAGCTTTACTTTCTGTGGATAAACTCTGGGTGTGAAAGTGAGTGGACATGATGGTTATGTTCATATCTCCTGTGTTCCTTATCTCCAGAGAAACCCCTTCCAGGGGGATAATTGTCCTCTTCCCTTCCTCCTCTGCATTCAAGGAGGATATGGTCATCCCTTCTGTTTGGGTAGCTCTCCTGAGGTCTAACTTACCATCTTCCCGGTGTCCCCATGAGGTCACCTGACCATTTCTAGTGCAGCTGCACAAAAGGTCCAATGATCAGTGCTTAAGAGGGTCAGAGGCAACAACGTCAAGTGGTCAGTCCTTTGAGTATCTTTCTGGCCAGAGAAATCTTCTGCAGAGGCTTTAGCATCACTGCAGGAAGAGCCAGAATGTACCACCCCCCCACCCCTCTCTTACCTCCAATTTCTGCCTTTATTTTCCAGAGGAAGACTGAGGCCGGGAGAGAGTACATGAGTTTCTTGAAGTCACATAGCAAGTCATTGACTAGCACCTGGTCTCCAGGCCTCCAGGCTTGGAGTCTTGCACTACATTTCCTCTTTAGAACTCTCTTGGCTGCTGCGTGGCTGAAGGCTGGTCATTTCTTGTTTCCATGCCTCTAGCTCCTCAGCTGGAAAATGCAGGCTTTTCATAATTTGAAGTGCTTTGAATTACAAGTAATTTTTAATTTTTTCAAACTGCCCTAAACAAAGCTTATAAATAAACTTTTCAGATGTGGTTTGAGCTGCAGGCATGGTTTGATCCAGAGATTCATGACACCACGAGGACGCCAACTTTACTTTTTGTAATTTTCCCAGCTCTCACCTCCCCTGTGTGTGAGCCTCATCATCACAGCAACTTCCCTTGCAGTGTCAAGAGCACTGCAGCAGACCCTGGCCTCACACCCATGCACCCCAGCAACCAGAGGAAGAGAGACCACTTCTGCTCAGCGCACCCAGGCACAGTCTGTGGTCCACTCCAATTGGAACTGGCTTGGGCTATATGCCTGCCACACTTATCCAGTCCCTAAGTGGGGAATGTGACACGGTGATCAGCCTTCCAGGGGATGGAGTCGTCATCCCCAGAAGTGCTTGCATCTGGCATCTGGGAATCAGGTCATCAGAAAGGGGGGGTGGGCTAATAACTAGAAGTTGCCTTCCTGTAAACCACCCTAGTCCCCTCTGAGTCTGCACAGCTTGGAGGTAAATAAGGGATCCTGAGAGTTTGCCAGTCATCCTGTTCCATCCATCTGGGGCTCTGGATCCAGGTGTGGCTTGATTGGACGGCCCTGCGTGGCTTTCTCCTGCATCTCACCACATTTTTTTCTTGTTTCCAGACAGAGATTACTGCAGTTTATGTGACAAGCAGCCAATTGGGAGGCTGCTTTTCCGGCAGTTCTGTGAAACCAGACCTGGGCTGGAGTGTTACATTCAGTTCCTGGACTCAGTGGTAAGTCTGTGCTCCTGGGGAGGCACTTTGGTCCTCTGTGATCAGTGATTGTTTTTGCCCAAAGGAAAGATAGACTCCATCATTTAGAAGGGTGAAGAATGAAATTGGTGCTCAAGAAATTTCCAGGGCATACTTTGAGAATACTGCCTTGTCTGCAAATCTGCACCTGCTGGGTGACCAAGGATGGGCTACCTCCCACTCTGGGCCTCAGTTGACTGCTGCTTTAGAGTGAAGCCCTGTCAGTTATCTGATTCTAGGAGCCTGCGTTAGTATGCAAGGTAGCGCCTGGGAAAGTTGGATAATACCCCAAGGTAACAGTTGGATTCCATGGCTCATTCTCCCAGCTGAAAACCCATTTTCTAAAATTCCAAAGCTTGTGTTTATGTACTATTTACTGTCTGCTTCTCCATAGAATGCAAGTTCCCTGAACCCAGGATCCCATTCACCACTGCCTAGCACAGTGCATGGCACATACAGGCTTTAGTAAACGTTTGTGGAATGAACATGTGTTGGCCGTTTCAAGCCAATCTGACAGTTGCTGGCTCCAGGGGCTGCTGGCATGTGTGGCCGTGTTTGACACCATATGTCGACTTCTTTCAGATTTACTGGTCATTGAGTTGTTTAACAAATGATAATTAATCTGCATGGGCTTTTAGGACAGGATGTGGGAATATGCAGGAGTTCCTCAGCATTCATGCAGGGGGGGCAGGGCCTCTCAGCCTGGCAGACTGCCTTTTGCATGTTTATCTAAGGAAGATGGACAGTGGGTGGGAGGGCAAGGAACGGAGACCAGTCATGCAAGGAATGGGGTATTCCCAGGCTGGGGACTAAGATCCTCCTGTTTCCTAGAGGCCCTAATGCCACCCTTGGCTGCAGCCATCCCGACCAGTGTCTCAGTTCGGGGGATAGTCCTGTGGAGCCCAAGTTTCTATGTTTGCTTCAGGGTCTCAGTGTGGATCTCTAGATTTACAAACCAAAATGCCCCCTGAGTGTCTCCACCAGAAGTCACCTTCCCCCAGATTCCCAAACCTATCCAGTCCTGACGTGTTCCCTAACCCAGAGACCAGGACCCATAGTCACCCACGCCTGAAATCTTTGCAATTTCCTTAACCCCCCCTTCCTCATCTCTACCCCATTTAATCAATCATCTAATCATCTAATAATTTATGTCTGTATCCCCTATATAATAATCATATGCCTGATTCCTTGATTTCTCACAGACCAGTTCTCCTCCATAGCCTCTGTCCTGGTTCTAGTGGAGGCTCTCAGGATGTCTTACATAGTGACTATGATAGTTTTCAATCTTGGCTGAGTAGTAGAAACACCTGGGGAGCCTTAAAAAAATACCAATGCCTGAGCTAAAGCCCAGACTCATTAATTTGAATCTCAGAGGGGGGTGGGGGAGACTAGTATTTTCATAACTTCTCATAATTTCAAACGGTAAAAAAGTAAAGTTGAAGAGTAGCTTATGCATCCTTCACCCCACTTTGGCCATTATGAACTCATGGCCAGTCTTGTTTCACCACGTCCTTTCTGTCTGTAGCATTTTGTAGCAGAGCTCACACATTTGATTTCATCTGTGAGCATTTCAGTTCAGCATCCCTGAACGAGAAGGGCTCTCTCACACAAAGAATCACTACAATACCCTTAGTGCAGTTCTAAGAAAAGTAATTATTATCATCAAATATTAGTGTTTTAAATCCATCTTTCTCATACTTTTCATAAATGCATGTTTTATCAGGATATAACCATCTCTCTTTGTTCATCCAGAAGAGTGTCCCATAGTCTGAATTGTGCTCTTTCACCGTACGTGTCATTTAATAGGTTTCTCTGTATTGCTTGTAAATTCCTCATTGAATCAAGAAACTTGATCAGATTTCAGTTTCAGGGTTTTTTTTTTTTTTGGTTTTTTTTTTTTTTTTTGCAGGGGTAGGGTGACTTCATAAGTGGTTTTATGTTCTTCCATCAGGGAACATTATTATCTGTGTCTTTCTTTTAGAGGTGGCAGCAGATTTAGCTATTCAGTGCCTAAATGTGTTGATTAGTTAGGGTTTGCAGCGTGGTGACATTCTCATTTTGTCATTCCTTCTTTATTTGCTAACTGGAAAATACTTCCTTTCAATTACTGTTTGGTTACCCAGTGATAAAGTTCATGGAAGAGTTGCTTCATTCTTTCCCTATATTTATGTTTGCAAAGAACCAGATCAGTTCACTAGCACCCTCCACTACTAGTAACCAGTGTGTTTTAAAGGCGTGGAGTTAAACACGGCTGCGTTTCAATGCGTTGTGGTCATTAGCCTTCTAGATGCTCCGTGGTCTCATCGTTGGCCACCAGGTTGGCTTCTGAGCCCTTGAGAGGACCCAGTCATCACAGGGAGCTCCTTGCTATCTGGTAGGATGCGATGTTACAGCTCATCTTGTATATTTCCTACCCTAGACCTAGAGTCCATTGAATCTCCAAGAACCCTGGTTCCTTCTACTGAGAAATGGTACTTGGAGACCACAGTTTAGCACTAGTGGTGCTCATTACCTATAAACTGGCCCTTATTTCTAATGGACATTGGCGTTTTTCAAGTTGCCCATTACTATCCTGTGTATCCAGGATTGGGAAGCATTGACATCTAGGACAAAGTCCAAGTTCTGAGGCTGAATACCAGGCCTTGCACTGATAGGCCCCCATGTGCATTATTCACCCAGGTCTTTCCTGAGCCCTACATTTTGGCCCTACTACCTTCTCGTGGTCGCTCTGACTTGCCACCACAGAGGTTGAAGCCTCTCGGCCCTGGCTCCCTCACTCTTAATGCCTGAAATGGCCCCACGTCCCCTCTGCCTGGAGAATGCCTGCTTGTTCCTTGTTTTCTCATACTGTACTCCCAGAAGTCTTCCCCAACCATCCCCCTGCTGTGCCCTCTGCACCAGGTGCTGGCTCCAGCATGCACCTGGGCCTCATCATTGGGCTGTGCTGGCAACATGGTGTATTAGTTGGGCATGCAGCCTCTAGAGACAGACTGAAGGAGCACAGCTGGCACTGCCACCAGCTGGCAGTGAGACCCTGGGTGGGTGTGAACCTCTCTGTAAGAGTTAGCCAGGTGAATATGTGGTGGAAGAGCAAGGCAGGCAGGGGAACAGCCAGGGCAAAGGCTTACAGCATGGCATCTGCGGCTGGAATGGAGGAGAAAGGGCAGAGAGGAGTCTAGGAGAGCTGTTGGTTATGCAAAACCTTGTGCCGTTAAGAACTTTGTTTTTTAGTTCAATGGGGAGCTACTGGAGGGTTTAGAGTAGAGCAGTGGCATGGTCTGACTTAAGTTTCTAAAGGATTCCTCTGGTTCCTGTATTGGAAGAGAAAGGGTGGTCACAGGAGCTCTGATAGCAGGCTACTGTAGCAGTCCAGGCAAGGGCTGATGGTTGCTCAAGCCAACGTGGAAGAATTTGGCTATGTGAAAGTGTTGAATTTGGGGCATGTTTTGGAGGCAGAGTTAGCAGTATTTTTGGATGCATTGTGGGTGAGACAGAAGAGTTACAGATGACTTCCAAGAGTTGACCTGAGCAGATGGAAGGATGGAGTAAGAAAGGCTGTGGGAGGCGCATCTGGGGCAAGACCAGGAGCTCCATTTTAGGCACACCCAGCTGGAGTGTCTCTCGGACATCCACGTGGAGATGACTGAGGGGAGATGGACGTTCAAGTCTGGCATCTGCAAGAAAGGTCTGGGCTAGAGACAGAAGACTGGGAGTTGTCAGCATACAGCTGGTATTTGGTTGGGGCCATGGGCTGGGTGAGCTGACCAAGGAGATGGATGGGGAAGGAGAGATGAGGACTGAGCCGTGGACCAAGGCTGCTCCCCCTTTGGAAAAGATGAGGCATCGCCAGCTTTGAGACTCGTCTAGAGAGTTGATGAGGCAGAGCAGGGCAAGGCTCAGCCCAGGAGCCAGTGGAATTTTCCAGCCACGTGTTTTGTTAGACGCTTATAGTCAGTTTGAGTAGAAGAAGAAAAAAAAATCCAATGGATGCCCATTTTCATTCTGGTCGTGCAGACATTCCCTTTTGCTGGGCTGGCACCGAGAGTTTTTTTTCTGGAAAGGAAATGTGAGTCTGGCTCCCTGTGTTGATGCGACAAATGTTCTTTACATACGGCTTAACGCAGCCACTGCTCGAAGAGGCCGGCCCCGCCCCCTGAGTTTTGTCTGCATCTCTGGGAATGAGCAGGGCCTTTTCATCACCCACCCTGACGTCAAATGACCAGCCTTTGGGAGACCTCTTTTACGCAGGAAGACTTTATTGAGTTTTCCAGGGCTGGCGCAGTTCTCGTCTGAAATATGTTTTTTCCTTCCATCCTGACTGGAACTCCAAGGACGCAGCATCCAGCCCCGGTGCTCCCTGGCTCAGCCGGCACCATCCACACCGTTCCCACCTCTGTGTTGAATTTCTACCAAGTGGGGTTTGTTAAAAATAACCTGCCCTCGTCAGGCTCTGCTGTAGCCCCCAGGAAACGTGGCTGTCCCACACAGTCCTAATGTCTGGGTTTCTTGAGTCAAGCAGGAGACCTGTGATTGTTTTAAAATGGGGCCTGGGTGATTGGGGGGCAGCAGAACTGCTTTGTATCATTCATTAGACTGCAGGGGTAGCTCACCCCTTAGTCTTCATTGTCAAGGGCCTCCTGGGAGCCTAAGAAGGACTCCTTGGTTGCCCGCCCACAGAGAAATGGGGTCGATGACCAAAGTCAAAGCCGTGACTTGATTTGGCTTCTGAGAGGGTTTGCCCACCTGGTCAGGGGACCAGAAGGGGCTCCAGTGTCAACCTCCACAGGCCAACAGGGTTATTCCACAGGCCTCTTAAAGATTAATGTACTTCTTCTCTCTCCTGCTTTCTAAGAGCTTTGATGGCATCTTGGGTCTTTTGAAACCCTCTTGTCCTCGCACTTGCATGTGACAGAAAGTTTTTAGGTCTCTTCTCTTTGGGGTTAGGGGAGACTTGGCAGATACTCAACCAGTTATTTAGCACC